GAAAGAGCGGGTCGAGAAATGGCGTGCTAGGGCCTCTAAAGATGGTTTTGAACCAGGGGAGACTCCTAGACCCCAATGTTCTATACATACTCCTAGACCCCATTGTCCTCCTAGACAATGTTGTCACACTCTGCTTTTCAATTGAAAACAGACATCATCTTTATAGACATTTGTCATGTTTAGAGGCCTTAGCACGCCATTTTTCGACCCGCTCTTTCATTTGAGCCCAAAAAAACATTCATATCTTGTCTTGACATCGCTGCTACAAACTCGGGTCTACAACTGGGGCTTTCAATTGAAGGCCAAGATAGCAATCTTGTAATTTAGTGATAAAATATTTGTTGATAAATTTTCCTCTATATGAGATATTTTTATTCCAAAAAGGCACCGCCTGGTGTGAATTATCCGCCTTTTGAGCCAAGTATTTCGTTGCTGTCGAAAGCACAACAATTATTCATGTTTGAGACTTTCAAATTCGAACCAAACAAATTCTTTTTTAGCAATTTTCATCTAGCGATTTTGTTGGCCCAAACAAGACTTGTTTGACAACGTGTTTGTTTTTCGCTCAGTGTAGTTTACCACTTCGCTACAGAATGACCAACAGAGGCCTGATAGCCAGGGGAAACTCATTACAATGTTGAATGCTGAAAAAAACTCATTTTTCCGTCTCGAGTCGCAAGATTGAATAAAACTGCTAATAGCGTATTTGTCTGTTCGAAAACTCGTCCGTCAAGTGCGTCGATATCTCTTATATCACTATCTACTTCTTTGAACGCATGTTGTAATCGAAGACTGAAGTGTCCTCATCATATTTGAAAGATAAACATTATCAGATGTGTTATCTCGTTTTGGGAAAAAAACACGGGAATATTGACTTTATTCATTCATCGACAAATTTGTAAATAGATGATACGGTTTTAGGGGGTCATTTTATTTAGAATGAAAGCGGTTCAGAAAAATGCGCGGCCTCACGCGTGGTTCTACCTCCTGCTGAGTAAAGAGACGGAATTATTTTCAGAGTTATGTTCCCCCAAAGACAATTCACGGAGGAAAATATAAATATTTGAACGATAAGAATTATTTGTTTAATTGAATACAATCGTCATTCCATCTAAAAAAAAATTACGAAATTCCAGGTTTTACCGAAAATTTATTGTGAATTTACGTTTAATTGATAATTAATGTAAATATTCAACTGAGTTTCCTGAATTTTTTTATTTTCATGAAATAAATTAGAGGAAATTTACAGATTTCGTTGATTTTTTAAATAAAATGTTCACTTATCAATTACAAAATTTCTCAAATATGTTGCGAAACTATAATGTGATAAAAATTTCCAGTCTACCGAAAATTTCAGCTAAAAATGTTTAAAGAATGAAGTAAAAATCAAAATTTTCATTTAATTCTACTCAAACGAAATGATTTTGCGACCACAATTTCATAAGTGCATTGTTCTCGAATATTTGAGATTCAACTGATATTTTAGCTGAAGTGTTGTATCAATTTTTAACAATTACATTTTATCTAATTCGCAGACGAAAATATCAAAGAGACTAACGCAATAATCGTGCAAGTTTCCATTGATTTTTCCATAATACGTTCAATTATCTGACGAAATTTCTTGAATATTCAGTGAAACTAATGTCATCAAATGTTCCAAACACTGAATGCAATGAAAATTAAAATCTTTATTTAACTCTGCTCAAACGAAACTATTTCTCGGTCGCAATTTCATAAATGCATTGTTGTCGGGAATATTTGCGATTAAACTTGATATTTTGGCTGAAGTGCTGCATCAATATTTAACAATGCCATTTTATTTAATTCACAGACGGAGATATCGAAGCGGCTGAACGCGATAATCGTTCAAATTCTACCTTACTTATCGCAAGACCATCAGCAGCAAGTATTGACAGCCGTTGACCGAGCGAAACAAGTAACAATGACTGAGTTGAATTCCATAGTCGGGGTAAATATATGTCCACCACAGATTTGTTGTTTATAATGAGGCAAATCATTGCAATGAAGTGCATTTCAATTTGATTAGTTATTTAGTATTACCAGGGTTGAATGTGGTTATGTATGGGTCAGTTGGATGACTTTAATTGCGTTTTACGGTGCGCAACAGTCGCACATCCGCGAACAATCATAATTGTTGATCGATTCACGGTTGGACAACCACCAGAGGAAATGCAACCGATGAAATAGGGAGAATAGGGGCGGATGGATGGGGAGATGTTGGGAGGGTGGGTGAGTGAAGTGGTAGTGGATGATGAGAGTATCGAGCCCTTGCATTGAAATTCAGTAGCGCGCGGTATTCGACACCCAGCCGACACCCGAGGTCTCCACCCCCCAGACTTATTTCATAGTGTGTATTACACAGATAAGCGATGAAATTGGCATTCGAGCGTGGTCCCCGTATAATTGAGTTCCGAGTTGGTACTCCCTCGCGGTACCTATATGTATATATTCTCTCTCGGTTGGTGATGGCGGATGGATATAGTCGGGGCACCCACCGCGACATGAATAATTTTCCGCAGCTTCTACACTGCAATTTCAGCAACTTTAAGTTATACTCGATCCATTGTTCAAGTGCGCTCATTGTGGATGTGGAATTCATTATTTGGTAGGAGGATGGGAGAATGATTTTGGGTTTTGAGGTCGGTTTTATGTTTTTAGAGATTTTTGAAAGTCAATAAAATTTTGGAATTGAGTTTTTTATGTTTAGAGGTTACACTATTGGAAAAAAATTGAAACTGAATTAATTTAATGTAATTTACTGTATTTAATGTTGTTAGTTTTTAATTTCTTTGTAGACTTTATGAAATTTTGCATTTTTGACGGCGAATGGATATAGTGCAGCACCCACCGTGACATGAATAATTTTCCACAGCTTCTACACTGCAATTCCAGCAACTTTGAGTTATATTCGATCCATTGTTCGAATGCGTTCATTGTGGATAAATAATTCGTTATTTAGTAGAAGAATGTGAGAATGATTTTGGGTTTTGAGATCAGTTTTACATTTTTTTAAAAAATTTGAAATTCAGTGGCGGTGCTTTAAAATTTTTTTTTCAATTTCAATGATTTTTTTAAAAATTCAATACAATTTAATAGAATTGAGTTTTTCACGTTTAGAGATCACACTGTTGGGAAAAAAATTGAAATTTGAAATTTTTTTGGAAATTTGTTGAAATTTCTCATTTTTACCTATATTATTCAAATAAGTTCATTGTGAATAAATAATTCATTATTTATTCGACGAACATGAAAATGATTTTGTGTTGTGAGATCAACAAGTTATACATTTTTAGATATTTTTGAAAATACAATGCCATTGTGTTGCAAATTTCAAATTTTTTTCAAATTCATTAAATTTTGTGAAATTTAATAAAATTCAGTAGAATTGAGTTTTTCATGGTCAGATATGATATAAATCATGAAATTGAATTTTTAGTGAAAATTCAATGAAATTCCAAAGTTTTGAATACCAGAAAGACCAGAATTCTCCAATTATCTAGAATTTTCTATCGAAAGATGGATATGAAGTGCCAAACTACGCTGAATTTCCAATTAATTGAAAATTCAAGAATACATTTACCAAAACTTTTCGGTAAATGTATTCTTGAATTAGCATTTACGAATTCCCGGTTTCTATTAATTTCCGTGGAATAATTGAACTGAAATTTGAAGTTTCCATTGATTCCCTCATTAAATTGTCAATTTTCACCGCGAAGTTCTTTGAAATTTCCAAAAAGTTTATCAAAAATTTCAGCCAAAAATGTTTCACACGGCATTGATATTTCAATGACTGCTTGAGTTGATTGAATTTTCATAGTTTTCATTCTCGTATGCATTTTAAAATTGAAATTCCGTTGAATATTCAACAAATTAATCGGTTCTTCAGTGACAAAATGAGTACAAATTTTTATTCGGAATTTTATCAACACAAAGTATTTTTACATGACCCAAGTCATTGAAATTTATGAATCCCGTATCAATAGTCATCGTTCATCCTCCAAAATCATCCGTATATTTGTTTATCAGCTGAAAGCTCTCGAACACTTCACCACTGCAGTCAATTTACCCGTGCCCAAAAAATCTCTACATCTGTCACGAAAAAAAAAACAACTAGAAAAAGAGTATTGACATGTGCTCAAACTCTCAATCCCCTGAAAATTGCCTGTCCCCGTTCCACCCTCACCAATATACCCCCCCACAACATGCACTGGCGAATATAATCCCATTCTCGAATCCAATATTCGAATCGTGAGCTCGTCGCCCTGGGAAATTCAAACTTGTCTCCCCCTCTCTGTCTCATTTCGCTACCACTCTCACTCGTGCACCAAACAAACATTGAAATGCGTGTGGGTCTACTGTATACAATTCGCATTTTAGTGGCTACACTGTATAGTACAAACACTACAGATATTTGTACACGTGTTTCCAAAAGCACTGTTATCTCGCGGAAACGAGGGCTTTCGAAATTCCCATAACAACAGATTACCCTAAATGCAGAATTGCGTTTGATGAATAGAATTTACTCTGAAGACTTGATAAAAATTGTCTATCTCAGGAAGATGAAGACCGAAAGACGGAAGTTTCGTGAAGTTGTTTCATATCGACTATTGTATCATCATAACTTCCTTGCCACCTGGACCCTCAAAGTTTACATAACAAAGACACAATGCCACATTAAGCAAATATTAAAGTCACAATTGCAAGTTCTATCAATCAGAGACTTTCGAAATTCCCATAACAACAGATTACCCTAAATGCAGAATTGCGTTTGGTGAATAGAATTTACTCTGAAGACTTGATAAAAATTGTCTATCTCAGGAAGATGAAGACCGAAAGACGGAAGTTTTGTGAAGTTGTTTCATATCAACTATTGTATCATCATAACTTTCTTGCCACCTGGACCCTCAAAGTTTACATAACAAAGACACAATGTCACATTAAGCAAATATTAAAGTCACAATTGCAAGTTCTATCAATCAGAGAATTTCGAAATTCTCATAACAACAGATTACCCTAAATGCAGAATTGCGTTTGGTGAATAGATTTCACCCCGAATACTTGATAAAAATTGTCCATCTCAGAAAGGACCAATACTGTATACTTCGCGGGAATTTGTTTTTTTTCCGTTCCAAATGTTCATCAATAAAAAATAAGAAAATCATCGTATAAATTTGTATTACAATTTCTATTATATTTTTTATAGAATACGAGATCGGCCGCGTGCTACGCACGCACCTTCTCATCTCCTCACGTAGAGTGGCGCTTCGGTTTCAATCTTACGCTTACGCTTATTCGAGATTTTCGAGATATTCCGAGATCGATTTCCTTTCTCCTTTTTACGATAGGACGATAGGACTAAAAGAAAGTTGAAATTGTTTATCTTTTGATCGGTGATGAAACAATCATGAAATTTCAGGTTTCACTGAAAATTCAGTAAAATTCAAGAATTTTAAGCAGCATAAAGAAGAGAATTCCTTAATTTATTTGAATTTCCAATCTAATATGAATATTCAGTGGCAAATTATCTTCAATTTTCAATGAAATCTGAAATTTCATGATTTTTCCCCCTGAATCTCATTCAGTGTCACTATCCATAAAATTCAAGAATATATTTTTCTGGTTTTTTGTTCATTTTCAGGGAAAAATGGAACTGAAATTTACACTTCCTTTCAATTTTTCCACGAAATTGTGGATTTTCACTGACGAAATTCCTAGAAATTTTTGTGGTAATTAAATCCAATAAAAATTTCCAAAAAGCGTCCCACAAATTTCAAACCAAATTTTTTAACACTGTGTACTGCCTTGTTACCCTACCATAACTCAACTAAACCCTGAAAAATACAGAGACCATGTAAAACGTGCACGTGAATGCAGAAACTGACACAAAAAGAATAGCCTCCTCGTACTGTATACAATTTTTCCCCCTAAATGGCATTCAGTATCTCAGTCCGCAAAATTCAAGAATATATTCATTGGAATTTTCTGATTTTCCATTTGTTTCAGGGAAAAATGGAACTGAAATTAACAGTTCTCATCTCCAGTTCTCAATGACGAATTTCCGTAAAATTTCCGTGGTAATTGAATCCAATAAAAATTTCCAAAAGCGTCCCGCAAATTTCAAACCAAATTTTTCAACACTGTACTGCCTTGTTACCCTACCATAACTCAACTAAACCCTGAAAAATACAGAGACCATGTAAAACGTGCACGTGAATACAGAAACTGACACAAAAAGAATAGCCTCCCCGTACTGTATACAATACTAAGGGTGAATAGCGTCGGAGAACCTGGAGTATGAAGAGTGTACGTGTGTCTGTTCGAAGGGTGTGGCGGTGCCGGGAGGGGGGGGGGCAGGGGGGTTGAAGCCGAGGCAAACAGACCGAAGCGCCAGAGACCCATGAATATGTATTACTTGGTAAACAGGAGTTGAATCAATATTTCGTTTAATAACACCATACACACACCAGCGTGGAAGCCAGCCGGCGCACACCGACGGTCAAACTGATGGGGTTGGAATGGGAAGTTACTGCAGGCTCGTTTTATACCCCTCCCCTTCCTCCTTCTCCACCGCCACCTCGTATCCCTTCGCCGCACGTCTCCCTTCTCTTTGTCTGTTTCTCTCTTACCACTTGCCATTCTCCAACTCCCTCCGCTCGACACACACTCAATCTCACCCTGTTCAGGTTCGCAGCAATCCCTCTATTCCCCCCCGCCGTCGCACCCCCCTCCAGTCGCGTTTTCACCGCCGATGCGCCGGATTATTCACGGCGCGTTAAACCCCGTTTGGGACTATTACCGTTCCGTTTCGTGAGCTCGCTGCAATCCCAGCCCACTAAAGCGTGTCTCTCTCTCTCTCCCTCTCGATTATGGGTCTTTCCTCAATGAATTCGTCATTGTATCCGCGTACCTCATGATTGGAATGACAATTTTCATGTTTTACGGATGCTGAATTTTTTTTTTTTCAGTCTGCGGGGGACTGGAATTTTGAATGCTAATTGGAGATTTCTGATTTGCACGTGGAGTGAATTCGAGTTTTAGTTGGGAATGAGAGGTATTAGGGGGGAGTTTGTTGTTGGGGAGTAGGAAGGGAGGGGTCCCATCGCTGTTAGGAAATTAGTATGGAAATTTTGAATGAGTAATCTTGGAATTGCTAGGTATGACTGAAGTAATATCAGTGGCGAAGTGGTAAATGGAGATGAGTCAATTTTGACTATTGACCAGTTTTCAATCAATATCTCGGAATCTAAGGGAGATTGCGAAATTTTCGTAATTATATTTGTTGTAGCACTCAATTGGCTCCACAAAAAAGGTTATAACAAAAATTTTGCTGTCTCCCTTAGATTCCGAGATATTGATTGAAAACTTGTCAATAGACAAAATTGACTTATCTCCTTTTACCACTTAAATGAGTCCCACTCCATTGATTTTCTGATAATCTGATTTTAAAAAACAATTAAAACTGTAAATTTTAGCTCAATTATCCCGTAAAAATTCTGAAAAGTCAGCTCAATTCACACACTGTTAAAAATTTCTCGCAATTTCAGTCACAATGTCATCTGAATATTCAATGTTGTAAATTTGAATTCAATTTCAAACGAAAACCTTCACTAAATTTCTCATTCACCTTGAAAATTCAAGAAAATTGGATTTTTCATGTTAAAGAATCATTGATTTTTGAATGAAAGCTTGAATTTCCAAGCTCATCGTGAAAATTGGACCTCACATACAATTCAATTTTCAATATATTGAAAATTCAGGGATGTTATTGCCTGCGTTTTCAAAATTCAACTGATAAATTAATTAACTCAACTAAATTAACTGAATAATTAAAATAACTGATTCATCAATGAAGAATTCTCCAAAAATTCCACGTAATTTTGTCGTTGTAAAAAATTGCAAGCTTTTTCCCTTGAAATTTCAACAGTAATTTTCCAACAGTGCAGATCTTACGAAATACCTCACTTCCATTCGAGCGTCATTCCAATCACTCGAGCCCCCGACTCCCCTGAAAGTCGACTTTTTCCTCCGCCGCCGGGGCAATCCCCCCGAAAAACTCTAACTCATCCGCTAACCCCAAAATATATTCCCGCTAACACAAAAGCCCTCCATTTTTGTACCCAAAATCCCGAACAATAGTTGAATATGAAAATAAAATCGCTCCTGATAATGTCCCCATCCGAATGAAGGGGGTTGGAAACTTAGTCTCCCCCAATAGGCTTAATGGACTCATGCATCCTCACCAGAAGTTAATTCCCTAACGAATTACAAGATCTGCACGTACACGTGCGATATACACAACTGTCCATTCTCCCCTCAATCCCCCTCCCCCCTTCCGAATGTATTTGCTGACATTATTGTTCGCCCGAAACATTCACTCCCTGGGCATCACACTAACGGCAGAAGGGGAGCAGTGGGATCAACGAGAGAGGTCTAAACTGATATAACGATGTGTGTGGCCACATTGCCGACCCCTCATACATGTCCCTGGAAATAACAATCACAATCGATAGGCCGGTTGCCTATATAAGGCCTGTTTTCTCTCAATCTCACCCCTCTTCTCAAGTGCATATATCAAGCTCCCTTTCAACGATTGTTCTCAAGGGCGGTAACCCTAAATGCCTAAGTGAAATCCACGATAAGCTGAATTTCGCACCCGTAACGAGTTTATCGTCTGCCGGAGGGGGAAAGGGCTCCGGGCTCCCCTCCGCCCCCTTTTTAAGCCACACGAGGGGACGGATTTCATCCCCTGTCGCACGTAATATGTACCCTGAACCCCTTGGGGATGTCTCTTTGTCGGAGGGGTTTTATATATCCATGTGAATCTGAATGGTTAGATGGAAAATAGAGGGATGTTGGGTATAATAGTGGAGACTTCGGACTCCTGTAGGGGCGTCAGAGTGTATTTGTTAGACGAGTGATTGCCATCCAACTCCCTGACATTAGAGTTCCCTTCTCTCTCTCTCTCTCTCTCTCTTGCTTTTTTCGCCCCCTTTATTCACACTCTCGTTATTGTGGTTACGACTCCCTGCGAATCGCACGGAGATCCGTGTGCCCGCACGTGTGGGACGTAATGAAACACGCTGTTGCGTTTAATCGAGGATAATTTATACTTTAATTTATGCAGTGGGGGGATTAAAATTTTTGGGAATTTCGAGCAAGGGATAGTTTGAAGAGTTCGCTGTTGAAGGATGATTGTTTGAAGGGAATATTCATTAGGAGGGGATTAATTCAGTAGCGAAGTGGTAAAGGAGATAAGTCAATTTTTACTGTTGATTAGGTTTCAATCAATATCTCGGAATCTAAGGGAGATAGCAGAATTTTTGCTGTAACCTTTTTTGTGGAGCCGCATTGGTGGTACAATAAATGTAATTACGAAAATTTCGCTATCTCCCTTAGATTCGGAAATATTTCTCAAAAACTCAACTGGGAGATAAGTCGACTGAAACCCTTTTACCGCTTCGCTACTGAATTTATTTTGATTGTATTATCCCCGGAAATTTGGTGAGAGAAATATTCTGGGGAATGGATTGTAGAATTTTGGAGTTTTTGAAAATTGAAGTGAATTGGGGATTTTTTCGTAGACCGTTTAGTAGTAATTTTCAGAAGAACATCGTGAAATGCCAGGGTTCACGGGCAATTCAATAGAATTCCAAATTTTTGGGCAACTGGGAGAAGAGAATACCTCAAATTAATTAGGTTTTTAGTGGAAACATGAATATTCAATACCAAATTACGCTGAATTTTCAATTAAATGAAAATTCAAAAATATATTCACCTTCATTTTTTTATATCTATTAATTGTCTTAATAATTACATTTCAATGATGCAATTTCTTCATAATTTTGGAGTACTTGGGGCATTAGTACTGAAAGTTCAATGAAATTCCAAATTTTTGAGCAGTAGGTAGACAAGAATTCCTCATCTTAGTGGAATTTTAAATAAAAACATGAATGTTCAGTATCAAATCGAGCTGAATTTTTAAATAATCCAAAATTCAAGAATATATCCTTATGTTTTTTCCTGATTTGTATTCATTTTCCCGAAACAGCTGAATTGAAATTTACCATTTCCACAGATTTTTTCATAAAATTTTGATTTTTCAATGACAAAATTCATTGAAATGTTAGTAAAATTACTCAGAGAAAAATTCATTAGAAAAACGAGTGCTGGCACTGGAAAATTTATTGGGTAGCATGTGAGTTTTGCCTGTATTCATCTGAAATTTTCCCCGCAATTTCCACGAATTTGACTACAAATCTATAAACTTTACAAAAAAATTCAAAAATTTTACCTAACAGCACTCGAATTTTTCTAAAGCGTTCCACTTCTTGTATAATATGACGAAAATGTCTGAGAAGTGTACGAGAAATTCTATTCAATAATTTTAAACAATGCATTTCTACTAAAAATTTCCCAAACCTTTTCAATGATGATGCCTGGATATTAAACAATTCGAATGAAAAATCAATATTACCTTTGTCTGCTATTTGTAGCAACAGAGACCCGACATACCCAGGCTACTGCAACAGATGCATGCGCAGCAACTACCACCGGGTGCGGCGATAGGACCGCATCCCGGTTTACCCGGACTACCAGGACTCGGTCCTGCGGGTGGACTGCCAGTTCCCACATCCGCATCAGCGGCGCTTCTCGGACTCGGGCTGACCCCTGGCGCTGCCGGGACTCCAGGACCCACTGGGGCCCATCCACTCTCGATGCTTGGGAAACCGGAGCTTCATCGGGGCCAGCCGGACGATCTGAAGAGCAATGGTGGTAAGTTCAATCATTTTTTTGAAATATGATCCTACCCTACACTGAAAGGAAAACTACAAAGTTCTCAAACAACTCTTACTTGTGCCAAGAAAATAGTTTTTTGGAAATGATCAAAAAAGGATTTTTTTGTGCCAAACATGCAGAGAGTGCGCCGGAATGACAAATTTTTGTCGCAAAAATAGATTTTGTAGTTAAAAAAAAATTGCATTCTCCGTACACGCAATAAATGTCATTTCTAGCACTACTCCTTCGTTATTCGATACTCCCATACGTATTTTGCACCCGAAAAATCATTGTTTTATGCGGAACAAGGGGTAGTAGTTTTTCGTTTCGGCTGTCTAATAATCACAGACAAGAAATGAACCCTTAAATGAAACAATAATAATGATATGATAGCAATCTTGTAACTTAGGGATAAAATATTTGTTGATAAATTTTCCTCTATATGAGATATTTTCATCCTGAAAGAGCACCATATGGTGTCAATTATCCGCCTCTTGAGCCAAATATTTCGTTACTGTCGAAAGCAGAACAATTATTCATGTTTGAGACTTTCAATTTCCAACCAAACAAATTCTTTTTTGGCAATTTTCAACTAGCGATTTTGTTGGCCCAAACACGACTTGTTTGACGTGTTCGTTTTTCTCTCAGTGTACAGAGAAAAAGTTTCTCGTTTCCATAGACCAAAGTTCTCGATTCCAATGAAATTTGCTCCGAGAATGAGAAAAAAATTTCCAGTTCTTAGTAATTTTGACTCAAACCCAGTGCCCAAAATCCAACAAATATTTTTTTCATCATTCGAATGGAGAAATGCAGACTCTCACAAATAAATAAAGACGAATTCGCTCGCAGGGGTGGGTCGGTCGCTACAATAACATCAGTCAGTTTGTGTAACCGTATGATTTTTGGGGATACAACCGCAGTCGTAAATATGTATGAAGAGCATTTACATATTTTTTTTTTCGGTTTGCACACGTGCTAGTTCCATTATAGGCATTCTAACGATGACGCGATCGGCACACACACACACAATTGAATCATTCAAATACACGAAACTCCATTCTCACGTATGAAAAACACGGCACTTTACAAATGCTACTGATACCACTTACATTTGTTTTTTTTCTTTTTTATGTCGCAGGTCTCAGCTCAACGGAAGAACGACACGTAAGTAATTCACTTTCATGTTCGACGACAGCAATTGTGCGCATGTTTCTGTTGTACTTGACCTCAGATCGACTGAAAAAAATGTGTTACGAGTTACATAACGGGTTATCGGCCCGGCGTGAGCTGAGCGTATGGAAAATGTATTTCTAAAAATTTCTAAGAGATTATTTTTGAAAGTTACTAGGGGAATCATTATTATTACCATTATTATTGTAGTTTATTAACACAGTCAGCATGAGAGAAATATCGTCATAATATCACAAAACTAATTGCTTGCGCCAAATATCTCATCTCTTGAGGATAAATTTCTTGGGATAAGAATTCCGGATAATGTGTCAGACAATGTCGGATTTCGGTTTACTCATTAATACATCGGCGACGAATTCAGGTGGAAAATCTGATACATAAAGCGTCATTCATTCTCCTCCATTCCTTCAATCTGTTTAGGCTAAATAAAATGACGTAAACGCCCTGGCGCCAGTTGTTTATAACATTCAATCTATACGAGAAAATTGAAGTCATGGGAGCTAGCTTTTCGCCTCTCTTCGTTATAACGTTTTAACCAAATTAGTGATGCCGTCGAGACTAGTCGAGAATTATTTTGAAGAGATCATCACGGTCTGGAAAAACATCGAAAGTTTTGGAATCATCGCAATCTCGAAAGACATTGGATCGGTGCATCTCGTCACAATTTCGGGAGAATTTATCTTGCCTGGATCTCGACATTTTCGGTTTTTTAAGTTCACGAGACGAGACGAGAGAGATATCGAGGCAAACATTTGAAAAATAGAAAATACTGAAACTCAGACGTGCTGAATTCTTCCAAGTTCGTGACGAGCTGCACCGATCCAATGTCTTTCGAGATTACGACGATTCCTAAACTTTTGATGTTTTTTTAGACCGTGATGATCTTTCCAAAATAATTCTCGTCTAGTCTCGACGGCATCGTTAAACCAAATTATACGTTTATACGTTTTTAACTAAATTGTAACACAAAATTTTTCGACTGCAGTTAGAAATGTGAGATTAGAACGATGACTGGCGCTCAGGTTATCCAGCTCCCCTGGCCCTACCCTATCCATCAGCTTCGCATGAATGAGCGTATGTTGAAGAGCATTCTGGTTCAATACCCAGGAGATCGTATAAACCCTCAGACACACGGTCGTTCAGAAACCGTGCACAGAGGGTTCTTTTTTCGGATAAGATATGAGTACACACAAACGTCACGTGCTACATTGAGTATACTTTAGCCCGCGATTTACGTTTTTGTGTGGTAGGATTGAAGAGTAGAGATCGAAAGAGGCGTGTCCCTGTAGAATGTAAACGACGAAGAGGAAGCATTCAGTGAGAATCCTCCGCAAAGAGAGAGGACAAACTAATGAGAAAAAAAAAACGTAGCAAAACGAATAGCGAAACTGGAGGAAAGGCGAAGATGAGTATTATAGGTTCGACGGGTCTGTAATCATCGTTGGACCGCAGAACGCCCATCGACACCCTCTCATTCTTCTCCACCATCCTATTTTATCCTCTCACACGTTTTATACGTGTACACATGTACCCGATCACTCTTTCCACGCTATTTCTCTCTGGAGAGCAGTCGAAATACACTCTCGTACTTTTCTCAGCCCCCCTTGACATCCTTTTATGTCATTTCATTTACGCCTTTTTCCCCCACTTCCTGTTCATCCCTCTTGTCCTTCATAAGAGGTTATCCGCAGATTCTGTCGTCAGTATCCTGAGATATCTGCTCACTTCCTTCGGTATTTCACATTCAAGTTTTTCTACTAATGCGACATTTTTCGAGGCGTCAACCCCGTCGGATTTTTGAACTCGCGAGTAATGTTAATCACCACCCGACGTCGGCTGTACATTTTGGGTAAAATGTCTCGTTATTTTCCAATGTTTCAGCGAAGTTCAATATCCCCAGCTGACAAATACAGTAGACCCCGCACTCCCCAAGAATCCCATCATGCCCATCACTCGCAGAATCATCACGATCACCCAATGCACATAAAGAAAATGAAAAAAGAGCAGGACAAAGACGTAGGTCACAGCGACGGTGAAAAGAGTGATCAAGATCTTGTAGTGGATGATGCGAGTGAGGGGCCAACTAGTCCAGCTGTAAATGGAACGTCATCTCCTCGTGAGAATGGTTTAGATAAGGTCTCATCATTGAACTCCAATATCCAAGTGAAGAAAGACGCCCCGCCACACTCGCCGCGGAGTGGTACCAGCAGCAATGCTAGTACACCGTCAGCTAAGAAAATGGAGGAGAGGGAAAAACCAACGACACCGATATCGAAACCAATGACACCGACATCGGCGTCTGGTGGAGTGAAGACAACTAGTTCTGGTAAACTATTGCAGGGACCTCCACCACCAGGTGTTGCTGGGGCATATCCACCGCATTATCCCCCAGGTCCACCGTCGCATCATATGCCACCCGGTGGACTCCATCCTCACGTCGACATGATGGCGTACAACGGGTATGGAGCACCTCGGGGACCGCCCTCGCTTCAGCAACTGTATGATCCCCATGGTGGCATGAGGGCACCCGCGGGCTCTATTGGAGTGCCTGGAGGCAAACCGTTAGTATATTTATCTCTATATTTAAATTATTTGCGGTGTCATTCACACGAATTTCTACCGTTTCAACATTTTTCGTCACAGTGTGAAACAATATTGATTCTTTTTTAAAAAGAAATGTGAAGCGTGAAATGAGAAAGGCGAAAGAACATGATTTCACACTTTTTTACAATCAAAATTCTGGTTAGAACTTCCAAAATTGACTAGTTCGCCGCCGGGCTCGCACGTCTACGGCGTGATTATAGACGAATAAGAGATGATAGAGTTGATCGTGAGTGCGATAGGCTTTCGATTATTCGGACCTTTTGTGAAAGGATCTAATTCGTTGTGAATAGGATTATAATTGAAGCGTACATGTCATTTCGGTGGAGCTTTTTATTGCGTCCATTTCAGAGTCTTCAAATCTGACAGATGTTCATCACATTCTTCGTTTATATATTTTTTTAAAATCGAAATTCTGTTCATTATTTTTCAAATTGACCCGTCTTACAGCGAGTTCTCGCTCGGGCTCTATGACGTGAGAATAGACGAATGAGAAATTCTAGAATCACTCATTATTGTGACAGGCTTTCGAGTGGAGCCTTTTAAGAAAGGATCTAATCTTATTGCGTTATTGTAATATAGAAAATGATCCCTGAATAATGTCTTCAAGTCATCAATTTTTATCACAATTTTGTTTCACACGTTTTTTGCCAAAATTCTGTTAAATTCTTTTCAAATTCAACTCCGACGTGTGAATAGACGAATAAGAAAGGATCGACACACTCATTAGTGTGACAGGCTTTCGTGAGTTTAGGCCTTTCCAGAAACGATCTAGTCTATTGTGAATAGGATTATGGAATTGAACCATACAAATCAGTTCGGTAGACCTTATTGCGTCTATTTTAGAATCTAATCATAGTTATGTTATTCTAATATAGAAATTCAACACTGAAAAATGTTAGAATAATATGACCGATCCCCATCCCAATTTCGTTCCATCCTTTTCCCCCTCATCAATTTGCATTAAAACATTAATATCCACATTCAGACCCCAAGAATAAAAAGACCATTTCTTCTATTTCCATAGCGCTTACAGCTTCCACGTGCCAAGCGAGGGACAAATGACACCAGTGCCATTTCCCCCCGATGCGTTGATTGGCCCTGGAATACCACGTCACGCACGTCAAATAAACACTCTGACCCACGGTGAAGTTGTGTGTGCAGTGACTATATCAAACCCCACAAAATACGTATATACAGGTGGCAAGGGATGTGTAAAAGTTTGGGACATTGGTCAGGGTGCGGGGGGAAGTGCAAAACCGGTATCTCAGCTCGACTGCCTGCAGCGAGATAACTACATAAGATCTGTCAAACTATTGCCAGATGGTAGGACTCTGATTGTCGGGGGTGAAGCGAGTCAACTGAGCATTTGGGATCTGGCTAGTCCCACGCCGCGCATCAAAGCTGAACTCACTTCTTCAGCGCCCGCCTGCTACGCCCTTGCCATATCACCAGACTCCAAGGTGTGCTTTAGCTGCTGCAGCGATGGTCACATTGCAGTTTGGGATTTGCAGAATCAAACACTTGTCCGGCAATTCCAAGGGCACACTGACGGTGCATCTTGCATTGACATATCTGCTGACGGCTCCAAACTGTGGACAGGGGGACTCGATAATACGGTTAGATCGTGGGATCTCCGGGAGGGAAGACAACTCCAACAGCACGACTTCACATCTCAGATATTCTCACTGGGATATTGTCCAACTGGCGAATGGCTCGCTGTGGGAATGGAAAATTCTAATGTCGAGGTGCTTCATGCCACCAAACCCGACAAGTATCAGCTGCATCTTCATGAATCATGTGTTCTTTCTTTGAGGTTCGCCTCTTGTGGCAAGTGGTTTGTCTCTACTGGTAAAGACAATCTTCTCAATGCCTGGCGCACACCCTACGGTGCCTCCATATTCCAGGTAACACATCAATTTTTATATCTTTTTACCATAATTTACAACTGGGTTCGGTGGATGATGTAAATTGCACAAGTATGATGAAAATTAAACTCACGAGAGGGCGGGCATCAAGTGTCCTCGTTTCCTCCTCGTGTAATGACGTCCTCGAGCGAGTGTGCATGTTTACATGCATGTATCCCACCCACATCGCCGAGTGTGTTACCCATCCATTGTATAACCAAACGAGGGAGTTACGTATATCACATTGGCAACGTTTGTTTATTCCACGTCATTCCGTCCGGAAATTTTCAAACCAAACAACGCAATCCATCCATTTCATGTGGGAATAAATTGAATAGGAAAAATGAGTTGGTAACGACTGCATGGGAGTGATAATAATTCGGGAATATTTTAACGAACACATTGGCGTATTCGGAGAAGGAAATTTCAACAAGTTGAAGTTATTTGGAAGAATAAAGTACATTTCTGGTGATTGTTGCGTGTCGATATGTAGAGTTTTTCATCTTCAGTGATAAGATGATTCAATGAATCTTTTAATTCAATACTTTAATGAATTGATAATTGATTTCTTCGATAGTCCCTTCGCTACTGAAACGGCAATCTGGTTGAGCGTTGCACTGAAAGAAAAACGACAAAGTTCTCAAACAAGTCTTACTTGTGCCAAGAACATAGTTTTTTGAAAATTATCAAAAAAGAATTTTTTTGTACCAAACATGCAGAGGGTGCGCCGGAATGAAACATTTTTGTCACACTACTCCTTTGTTATTCGATACTCCCATACGTACTTTGCTCCCGAAAAATCTTTGTTTTATGCGAAACAAGGGATAGTCTAATAATCACAGACAAGAAATGAACCCTTAAATGAAACAATAATAATGATATGATAGCAATCTTGTGACTTAGGGATAAAAGATTTGTTGCTAAATTTCCCTCTGTATGAGGTATTTTCATCCTGAAAAGGCACCGTTTGGTGTGAATTATCCGCCTCTTGAGCCAAATATTCGTTCCTGTCGGAAGCAGAACAATTATTCATGTTTGAGACTTTCAAATTCAAACCAAATACATTATTTTTTGGCAATTTTCAACTAGCGATTTTGTGGGCCCAAACAAGACTTGTTTGACAACGTGTTTGTTTTTCTCTCAGTGTATAGTAGCAAAACTCGTTGAAGAATATTTTTTTCCACCAGTAACTGATACAACGTGTGAGGTGAGTTATTAAACAAACGACTCTTTGCCCTTTCAGTCTAAGGAATCATCGTCAGTGTTGAGCTGTGACATTTCAGCTGACGACAAGTACATCGTTACCGGCTCAGGCGACAAGAAGGCCACCGTGTACGAGGTCATTTACTAACGAGGGCACACATACACACATGTGACACCTGTGAAGCCTTTCTCAATAGAGACACTTGAAAGTGTTATAACCAGTGACAAACGAAATATTTGATTCTCTGTAAATACAGTTATTACTTGGTAATGTTATCCCATTGATATTGTTGTTGTTATGATTGTTGTTGCCGAATGCGGATACATCAGAAGTTTAGTACCATGTGAGTTTGACAATTGAGGCGATGTTAGTGTCACTCTTGGTGCATATTCACTTCGCATTGGGTACGAATTTTTTTCGTTCGCGATACCGTTGGCCCCCGCAACAAACCTGCCCCCATGGTAGATATCTATGTTTAAGTTAACATGAATTTATCATTCGGAATGAATGAACGGGAATTATGAGTGTGAGATGCGGCCGCGTGTATGTGGGAGAGTAGAAATTTTTTAAGTGATAGACATCGGGTCGTTACTTATGTACACTTTGTATATAATCGCGTTACACATACTATCATATTTTTATACTTCGTCTACGGTCGATTAACAAATAGTGAGGGAAGCAACTGATTTCAGTGGAATATTATTTGTGTACATAGAATTTATTGTCAATCCCATGTTGTATATTGTTATAGACAAATGGACGAAACAGGAATGATAATTAGGAATAAAATGAAATCATGAGAATTGGGTTGTTCTGGTTTTATTTGTGTTGATAAGGTCCTTGATTCTATTGCACGCTGGGGAAGCAGATCAGGTAAGAGGTAAGAGGAACTGAATTGAAATTTTCATAATTTGTTTCAATTCACAAACGTTTCTTCTTCATTATTAATTTTTGATTGGATCAGTAAATTTTATTCATTGTATGGAAGTGAAACATGAAAGATATCAGATTCGAAATGAGTGAAATTTAATTCGTAAAATGGAAGGTAGAAATCACTCGTAACAAAAATGGGACGTGAAGTATTTGATGGCGTCAATCAATGCAATTGATACAATTTATTCATACATCGACGGAATGGGAACTACAATCAGCAATAAAATGAAATCATGAAAATTGAATTGTTCTTTTTTCATTCATTATTCAATTTTTGGTATTCATTCCATCACATGCCGGGGCAACAGATCCGGTAAGAGAAGAAACATTAGATTTGCAGGATTTTCGAAGTATTATCCACAGAAAATAAAATTGAAGTATTGCCATATTCACAATTTTTTCCATGAACGTTTCTTCTTTATTATTAATTTTTACTTTGATCAGTAAATTTCATTCATCGTTTGGCAACTGAAAATGGAAGACATGAATTTCAAATTGAATAAAATTTTCATTCGTAAAATGGAAAGTAGAATTCATTCATAACAAAAATGAGATATGAAGTATTTGATGGCGTCAATCAATACAATTTATGCAATTTATTCATACATTCACAGAACGGAAGCAATAATTAGGAATAAAATGAAATAATGAAAATTGCATTATTCTTTTTTCATTCATTATTCAATTTTTGTTATTCATTCCATCACGTGCCGGGGCAGCAGATCAGGTAAGAGAATTTTCAAAGTATTATCCATAGAAAACAAAAGTGAAATAGTGAAATATTCACTATTTTTTCCATGAACCATTTTTTCTTCATTATTAATTTTGACTGTGATCAGTAAATTTTGTTTATCGTATAGAAATGAAAAATGGAAGATATCAAATTCGAAATGAATAAAATTTTTCATCACGCTGTGACGAAAAGTGAACTTTTCGGCACGCTCCGCGTGCCTAAAAGTCCAATTTCCGCCACATTGTGATGAAAAATATTGTTCGTAACTCGTGAAAAAATGTTTTTTAGCTCGTGGGATTATATCACTCGCCTTCGGCTCGTGATATAAACCTCCCACTCGCCAAAAAACACTTTTTTGCACTCGTTACGAAATATACTATTATTCATATAATGGTATTAATCATAGATCGGCGTCAAACATTGCTTTTAGTAATATTATGAGAAGTTGCACCTTATAGTAATTTAAATTTATTTATCGTAATTGAAATTTGAAAATCAATATAGAAATGGTGATTAAATTTCTCAGTTATTGGTTGGTAAAATAATTCGGAATTTGAAAATTTAAATTGATGGTTATTTTTAAAAATCAAAAATTTGGTGAGTAATATTAACAATTGACTTCTTCCAAGTTTAACTGTAATTCAAAATTTCGATTATGCCGATGGCTGATATCAACCAATATAAGTCCATCCTCTAATCTATGTAACAATGTTCACATTTTGGTTGTTCTCTACTTATGTATTTACGCAAGTAACAAATTATGCAAGATAAAACAATATAAGGAGCGAAAAAAGTCTGCGTGGGGCACGCATTGCATGAATATAAACATCACTCCCTGGAGTTTGGTCTCTAGGTATTAATTTTCCCAACACGCTCTTTTGGTATCACTAAAAGCCCACTGGGGCCATCGTGTTAGAGTCTTTAACGCATACACCTGTAAGGAGAGTTTTGAACTGGCCTTACATCATTGCGTCAATTTGCTCGAGAATTTCAACGAATAATTTTCAAACTAGGGTGATTTGTTTGAAAACTCGTTTCAAGCCCAAGTTTGATGATAGTTTCAGCGAGTTATCGCTCTCACGCAAACTGTAGTCAAGCATGCAAGTTTGCAGACTGAGTCTTTGGAAACCTCATAAATAGAATATAAAAATTGTTTTTATGGCGGAGAATTGGGGCTTTGCACGGAATTTCTTTGTTGATGGATATGAAACGGTGTGTGATTACGTCATAATGCAGATGCTTCATTATTTTACTAAATAAAAACAAGACGAGTGTTTTGAAAAGGAAAGAATGAAATCGAACCGGTAGCAAAATATTTTTTTTGCAAATTTTGATTTTTTTGACAATCCCATTCTTTAATATCGTTTTTGTGGTATTGAGAAAAAAACATTTTTGAGAAATTGCTGTATCGCAAAATACTTGACCGATTCAGTAGAAATTTCGCAAATAATTGCAATTGTGGGATAAAATTTCAGCTTTTTAACTTCAACTTTACGTTTTTTTTTACTTCTTTTACTTCTTTTTTTGCAAAAACACTGGAAAAAAAATTCGGACACACTTTTTCTAAGAACATCATATCATTATGTTTCATGATATTGTACATCGTTTCCAGGAAAAATTGGAAGATCTTCACAATCAGCAATTACAACAATTATTGATTATTATTGTGGTTATTAACAATTATGACGTTTTTCGAAAAATAAAAAAATGTTGCAGTTCTATTTTTTGTCTCTGTTTCCTTGGAACACATTGAGAGAGGAAAATTTGTGGCTGAAGTTTCCAGTATACTTCTTGGAAATTTCTATCACGTTATATTTCTACTGGAATTTCAAAGAATTTCGTGATTGAAAATTTCATGGAAAAATCTGTGAAAACTATAAATTTACGTTCAATTATTCCATGAGAATAGAAAGCAGGAATATTATGGTAAATATGATCTTGGATTTTCAATAACTGCGAAATTCAGCGTGATTTGGTAGTGAATATTCATGTTTTCATTAAAAACTTAAGTACGTCGGGAATTAGTCGCCTTCTGCTGCTCAAAAATTCGAAATTTCATTATATTTTCGTCAAGTTTGAAATTCAATTTTTTCCCTCTCAATGTAGTTCCAATTTACTCTTCTGGAAATGACTAGTCAACTACACTGTAGTGATAGACATATCAATCAATCATAATTACCGTTAAATTGTGAAGATGTGAATTTTGAACATTAATCTTAAAATGTTTAATATTGAAGTAACCATCCATTTGTACATTTGAATTTCGAAATATTCTATCAACCAGTAGTTTAGGTAGGAAGATTGACGATTATTTGGATAATCGAAAATCAAATACCTAAATTTAGAATTGGCTTGCTAACTAAAAAATTACATTTCAGTATTATCAAATATTTTATTCACCATCAATTGAAAAAATTTAGCTAATAAATTCTATAATATTTGAAATTTGTTGAATACAATTAAACTTTGAACAATATAAGGAGATAATCCCTTTTTAATATTGTCAAAATCTGATATTATTGCCGATCCCTGCTACACTGTTGAAAATATTTGAAATTGCAGCAATAGCAGCATTGGAATTCTCAATGCTGTGCATTTGAAATTAATTAGAGATCCATTCATGGAATCTCTTATTCAACTGGGAAATACAAAACAACAAATCATGTTCCATGATAACTAAAATTGCCAGACTTATTATGAAAATTAATCATCAAATGCAATTAAATTTCTAACGAGTTAAAAATTCAGGCAACAATTCCCTGAGTTTTCAACAATGTTCCTTTGCATTATTCAGAATTAAACGAATTTTTCATAACAAACTATGTGGAAATTTCACGCGAATGAGTCGTTGCTGGAAATTAAAAATTTTTTCCCCGGAATTTTCGAGTACTGCATCCACGGAATGTCATTTTTTTCCCGCAGTGCTCATGAATAAATAATGAACTTTTCATAAAACCAGTGGTGGTGGTTGTACAGTTAGTGTGAAGAATCCGATACATGCTGGGCTCACACATTCCATTCGTCCCTCTGCGGTCTTACCGGTTGGCATACTGTGGCAGCGCTAGCAAATTAACAGGCACGCAAATGAGCGAGTTTACGCGAGCCGCTTTCATGTTACCATTCATTTTACCCAACCTCCCGGGCCCTCTCTTCACTCTACATTTTCAACCCACCCTCGCGTTTCACAATTGGACACTAATAAACGTTCACGCGCTCAAGCGTCCACAAGTTCACTCGTAGATCTATAGTCATAGACCAATGGTATAATGTTCCTCTCCTATAATTCCGCAAAATGACGTGTAGCCGTTCACACCAGTGAGAAATATCAGCAAACAAAACCGGTCTGTATCATTAGTTTCAAGTTAACCCAATATTAGGTGGATGAAATATTTAATAGCCATTGGCCATTGTTGACTGAGACTTTTGACAAATCATGAAATTTTGAGAGCATACAATCTATTGATAGTCAATGTTCATTTCAAGATTCAAAAAATTTGATTGAATTTGATAAAAAAGGGAAGTTTTTATTGTGGATAAGAGAATTAAGACGTTGGATTTTATTTGTTTTCAATTTTGAATGAAAATGGTGAGTATTTTGGACAGATTTCTATCATTTTGCGGTAGATTATTTCCACCGGAAAACACTAATTAGTTAATTGATTGCATCGAGTGAATCATTTAGATGGAATGAATGATTTTTTTGTTTTTATGTAAATTTTATTAGAATGAATAGAAAATTTTTTTATGTTTTGTGTAATTGAAGTATTATTGAAATTTTTTTATCGTGTTGAAGAACTGCAGAACTCTCTGACAGAACTGCATCTACGATGTGTTTAAATCTTGGCAATATTTAATAGCCATTGGCCATTATTGTTGACTGAGACTTCTGACAAATCATGAAATTTTGAGAGCATACAATCTATTGATAGTCAATGTTCATTTCAAGATTCAAAAAATTTGATTGAATTTGATAAAAAAGGTAAGTTTTTATTGTGGATAAGAGAATTGAGACGTTGGATTTTATTTGTTTTCAGTTTTGAATGAAAATGGTGAGTATTTTGGACAGATTTCTATCATTTTGCGGTAGATTATTTCCACCGGAAAACACTAATTAGTTAATTGATTGCATCGAATGAA